CTGTCTTATCCGTTGTTGGCGTGTGTCTGTCTGTTTGTCTAATGTGAACCAGTCAGTCAGCTGTCTGTCTGTCATGTTAGTTGCCATATTGTCTATGTGTGCATGTATGAATCTGTCTATTTTTGTCAACCTCCTGTCTGTTTCACTGTCTATATTCACCCTGTGTCTATTGTAGTCATCTTCTCCATGCATTCCTGTTATTATCTTTTTATCTCTTCTCTATTTCCATGTACAGTCAACCACAGGAATAAGTATACACTGTAGCTGTAAGGTCGTCTGGTAACGTTGAAACTGCGCATCCAGACGCATGATGAAACTCAGCTCCCCTCCCCACCTGTTATCTAACTTATCTCTAAATATTATCTGTTTCCCCCTTCGTTATTCTTCTATTTACTCATCTTCCTTCCTTTACTAATCCAAACAACATAAAAAAAAAGTAGGGTAAGAAAAAAGTGGGGGGAGGAGGAGGGAGCCGTACGATAACTGCAATTGTCCAGCCGGCAGACAGCAAACAGCGACATCTTTTGCCAGCGTAAATAAAATGGTTAATTAATGCCTTCCTAAAGAAACCATCGACATGGGACCAAGTTTGTTCCACTTTACGAATTTTTTGCAATTTTTCCACCAAGTTTGATGGAAAACGATTGTGCCGTTTCGGCTGCCCAGAACAGATACACACACGGCTAGTCCTATAGTATGTTAGATAATAAAATAAGTTGATACGTGAAATAATACATAATTTATATTTCATAGGACCAAGATCGACTACCCCCTAAAAAAAAATAAATAATGAAGCTCTGGGTTTAATCTATATAGGTTTTAACCCTTTCACAGCGGAGGTTACCTTAAGCTGAATAAAATCGTCTGGCGGTAACCAGAATAAAATGGTAAGTGCGTGACATGCCGTGAAAGGGTTACTCGAGATAGGTTTTAACCCTTTCACATTTATCTCGAGGAAGTATTATGTAACATTTAGTAACATCTGGAATAGTACAATAGCTTGGTGGTAATAAGAACATCTCAGAATGTTACCACGGTTATCACTTCAATATTTATTTATTTCATTTATTTATTATTTTTTTATTTTTTGTTTTTATTTATATTATAAATATATACATAAATTACAGTGAAATTGAAAAACGTAAATATAATGGGGGAGCAGTACAACATGGGTTGTACAGTATTAAGGTTGAACAAGAGGACAGAGCTGTCAGGATTATGTCTAGTTGGCAATTATATTTATTGCAATGGTAATTACTAATCTATTTACATGATAATTTCCGATAAAACGATTTTGATAGTAAAATAAAAGCAGGTACTGTATATATATAGTAGATATTACAAGAAATATTAATACTTAGACAATATTTACTTTTTAAGGGATAATTTAAATTTTAAAGGAAGGGAGCGTAGTCTTGACTCGGATGGGTGGGGGTAAGTTGTTCTACACCTTCACACCGTGATATTTTATGGAGGTCTGGGACTGAGAGGAGCGCATGGGGGGGGGGAGGTGGTCTTAGTAGCTCTGGGTGCCCTAAGTTGTATCTGATTATTCCGGAACTGGAAATAATTATTGTCAGGCAAGTGATTGATAGATTTGTAAACAAAGAGGGCACAGCAGTAGGTGTTAATATCTTCGAATTATAAAATTTTCAATATAGCAAATTTTTCGTTTGTGTGATCTGTTTTTTCAAGTAGGTCATTGTCCGTACAACTCTCTTTTATGCAGTAACCAGAGATTGTGTTTTTGAAGAGCCAGAGGCCCCCCCCCCCCATAGTGTGTGACAGTGTATCAGGTGTTGGTAAACAAGATCATGATAGATTTCTTTCATTGCTGTGAGAGTGAGTGACTGTCGAATGTGATACATGATACTGCACTGTTTATTGACTTTGCTATGAATGGCTTGTATGTGGTTTCTCCAGTTAAGTTTCCCATCAACAATAACTCCGAGGAATTTAGTATTTTGTTCGCGTTTGAGGACTGTATTACCAAGGTACAGGGGGTCCAAGTCTGGGGGTAAGTTTTTCCTTCTGTGAAAGATCGTGTAGTGGGTTTTCTCAAGGTTTAAGGTTATTTTATTACGTATTAACCAGGTCCTGACTTTAGTCAATTCAGTGTTCATAGTTCTCATCAAGGAATGGAGGTCTGAGTTGCTGGCATAGAGATTACTATCGTCTGCAAATAAGTTGTATTTTATGAGTGTGCTGGCGTGGACTATGTCGTTTATGTACAACAAAAACAATACTGGACCGAGAATGGAACCCTGGGGGACGCCATACAAGATTGGCGAGTAGTCAGATTGGTGATTATTATAGCAGACATACTGCATCCTGTTGGACAGATATGAGGTAAACCAATTGTGGGACAGGCCCCTAACGCCGTAATGTTCAAGCTTTGAAAGGAGGATGGTATGGTAGACAGTATCGAAGGCTTTAGAAAGGTCCAAGAATATACCGACTGTGAACTGACTGTCATCAAAGGAATTTAAGATGTCATTAGTAAAGGATAGCAGAGCACTCTCAGTCGACCTTCTAGCTCTAAATTCAAACTGGGAGTCTGTAAAGATGTTATTGGCACTGCAGAAGGAATTTAGTCTACTGCATGCTAGCTTTTCCAGTATCTTACTCAAAACTGGGAGGACTGATATGGGGCAGTAATTCTTGAAGAGACCTTTGTCCCCAGATTTTTTATATACTGGGTGAACTTTAACAATTTTCAGTTTAATCGGAAAGACCCCACTAGTGAAGAAGGAGTTACAAATGTGTAGGAGAACAGGTAGTAATAAGTGGGCTACTTTCTTAATGATGCTCATCGGCATATTGTCTTCGCCTGCTGTTGCATCTTTGGACATTTTCATGATGGCCAGTAATTCATCTGCTGTGACAGGGGATAAGAACAGCTCATTTTGCTGTCTGTTTTGTAGGTAGGCTCTAAATTCATCATGGTGAGAGTGTTGTGACAGCACCGAGTGTGAATTCTTTCAAGACCAGACTTGACAAGCACTGGAGCAGGTTCAGATACATTCAGGAGCCAATGCATGCCCAGTACTAGCCAACAGTGCCTAACAGAGACGTGACCGATCGCCCAAGCGGTTAATGAGCCGATCAGTGGTGAAGAGGATAAATCATAGAAGTAAAAGTTGCACTGTTGTAGATCGACCTCTGGGCACGGGAGGTTTGTCAGCAGGTGTCGTGCACACGAACGACATTGACTAGAAGGTTATAAAAAGACGATAAATACTTAGTGCATGTTTTTGTTTCTCCAAGAGGAAAGTTTGATTTAGAGAACGTCAATATTTTTGTTGTTGTCTCGATCTACTAAAAGGGCTTTAAACTTGTTTTTCCTTACTTTTCCATAAAATTTCATTATAGGTAACGAAACAAACTTATCCAGAAACAATAAGAAATTATATCCTGGAGTTACAGTGAACGTTTGTCATTGTCATTTCTGGTTGGTCATTACGTCAATCAGTGTTTATTGTTATTCATATTCATTATTTATCATTTTCATTATTATACACAAGCTTTATTGTGATTCACTACCATGGAGATGTAAGTAGCAGAAACATATTTTGGCAGACAGAAATTTTACTATAACTATAGACCAATCAGTAAAGATTAGCTCCAAAGTAAAATTTTACATCACACTTTCTAATTTACTATAAATAAAATGATAACGCAACTATTATTACGAAATTTTAATAATAATAATAATAATAATAATAATAATAATAATAATAATAATAATAAATAGTCTTAAACTTGATATACAGTATATATTAAATATTCTTGACAACAGTTTCAGCTTTTCTTCACCTCTCTGTCTTCTCGTTACTATACAATACACCCATCTATTTCTTATCTTACAGAAATTATCAGACTCTCCATTCATGAGACATAAACCTACATGACCTTACACGTTACTGAAGTGATTAACATTAAGGATTTAGGGGAACAGGTAAGGGTTTAGAATTAGATCATGGGTAGAGGTAAGGGGACAAGTCATGGGTAGAGGTAAGGGGACAAGTCATGGGTAGAGGTAAGGGGACAGGTCATGGGTACAGGTAAGGGAGCAAATCATGGGTACAGGTAAGGTGACAGGTCATGGGTGCAGGTAAGGGGACAGATCATGGGTACAGGTACGGTGATAGGTCATGGGTACAGGTAAGGTGACAGTTCATGGGTACAGGTAACGGGACAGGTCATGGGTACAGATAAGGTGACAGGTCATGGGGACAGATCATGGGTACAGGTAAGGGGACAGGTCATGGGAACAGGTAAGGGGACAGATCATGGGTACAGGTAAGGGGACAGATAATGGGTACAGGTAAGGGGACAGGTCATGGGTACAGGTAAAGAGGACAGATCATGGGTACAGGTAAGGGGACAGGTCATGGGTACGGGTAAGGGACAGGTCATGGGTACAGGTAAGAGGACAGATCATGGGTACAGGTAAGGGACAGGTCATGGGAACAGGTAAGGGACAGATCATGGGTACAGGTAAGGGGACAGGTCATTGGTACAGGTACAGGTACAGGTAAGGGACAGGAAAGGGACATGGGTACAGGGGGACAGGAAAGGGACAGGTCATGGGTACAGGTCATGGGTACAGGAAAGGGGACAGGTCATGGGAACAGGGACAGGTCATGGGTACAGGTAAGGGACAGATCATGGGAACAGGTAAGGGACAGATCATGGGTACAGGAAAGGGACAGGTCACGGGTACAGGTAAGGGACAGATCATGGGTACAGGTAAGGGGACAGGAAGGGGACAGGGGACAGGGGGACAGGTCATGGGTACAGGTAAGGGGACAGGTCATGGGTACAGGTAAGGGACAGATCATGGGAACAGGTAAGGGACAGATCATGTAGGGAAAGGGACAGGTCACGGGTACAGGTAAGGGGACAGGTCATGGGAACAGGTAAGGGACAGATCATGGGTACAGGAAAGGGACAGGTCACGGGTACAGGTGGGGACAGGTGGGTACAGGTAAGGGACAGGAAAGGGGACAGGTCATGGGTACAGGTAAGGGGACAGGTCATGGGAACAGGTAAGGGACAGATCATGGGTACAGGTAAGGGACAGATCATGGGTACAGGTAAGGGACAGGTCATGGGTACAGGTAAGAGGACAGGTCATGGGTACAGGTAAGGAGGCAGATCATGGGTACAGGTAAGGGACAGATCATGGGTACAGGTAAGGGACAGGTCATGGGTACAGGTAAGAGGACAGGTCATGGGAACAGGTAAGGAGGCAGATCATGGGTACAGGTAAGGGACAGATCATGGGTACAGGTCATGGGGACAGAGGTCAGGTAAGGGGACAGATCATGGGTACAGGTAAGGGACAGGTCATGGGAACAGGTAAGGGACAGGTCATGGGAACAGGTAAGGGGACAGATCATGGGTACAGGTAAGGGGACAGGGAGGTCAGGGGACAGTCATGGGTACAGGTAAGGGGACAGATCATGGGTACAGGTAAGGGGGACAGAGGGGACAGTGGGTACAGGAAAGGGGACAGGTCACGGGTACAGGTAAGGAGACAGGTCATGGGTACAGGTAAGGGACAGGTACAGGTAAGGGACAGGTCATGGGAACAGGTAAGGGACAGGTCATGGGTACAGGTAAGGGACAGGTCATGGGTACAGGAAAGGGGACAGGTCATGGGTACAGGTAAGGGACAGGTCATGGGGTACAGGAAAGGGGACAGGTCATGGGTACAGGTAAGGGACAGGGGGAACAGGTAAGGGGACAGGTCATGGGTAAGGGGACAGATCATGGGTACAGGTAAGGAGACAGATCATGGGTACAGGAAAGGGGACAGGTCATGGGTACAGGTAAGGAGACAGATCATGGGTACAGGAAAGGGGACAGGTCATGGGTACAGGTAAGGGGACAGGTCATGGGTACAGGAAAGGGGACAGATCATGGGTACAGGTAAGGAGACCGGTCATGGGTACAGATAAGGGGACAGGTCATGGGTACAGGTAAGCTGACATGTCATGGGTACAGGTAAGGGGACAGGTCATGGGTACAGGTAAGCTGACATGTCATGGGCTCAGGGGTGAAGATTCTAATAGTGTGTAGTTTAGTTCAAGGTTTCGAAAATGGAACACTGATATTCTATTACACACACACACACACGCACACGCACGCGCACACGCACACAATGATCAGGTGCTCCATCATTATCATCTGAAATAATCACTGCCATTATCTTGGGCATTCACAATCTTTGTTTAATATTCACTAAATTTGGCGTAAATAATGGTAATCTTTTTCTTAAACTATCATTATCATGTTAAATAATCACTATAGTTTTTTTTAAATAATCACAATCATTCTTTAAAATAATTACAATCATTCTTTAAAATAATGACTGTCATTCTCTTAATTAATATACCATCATTATAATCTTAACGAACGATGATCATTATATTGAATATACACCGAACCACAATGACCATAAACAATCATCATCGTTATGATTTTAAATCATTATCATTATTATCACCATCATCATCCTCCCTCATACTGATTTCACCATTTTCCGGCTTGGGTACCACAGTTTTTTTATAAAGGTCGGGTAAGGCGACCACAGAACGCTGTCCTCTTCAATATTATTTACAAACATCAACATAATACCAAAAAATAATTCAAAACTATTTACAAATACTATTAAGAGAATTCTGAATGCATTGCACAGCTTAATGTACTGTACTTATAAATACTTAATAAGGCAGCTTGAGTTATTTATTTATTGTACACTCGAGTCTTTCTTTACTTTGACAGGGTCCCTCAGGAAAGACTAATACGTAAGGTAAAGGCAGATAGTATTGAGGAAAAAATTCTGAATTGGATTAGGGCTTGGTTCACGGAGAAGAAACAGTTAGCAATAATGGCATAAACTGTACTGTTATCTGACTGGGGTAACGCCACTAGCGGCGTACCCCAAGACTCAGTACTTGGACCGTTACTATTTAATATATACATTAACGGCATATACTGTAAGCGTTGACAGCAGCATGAGTAAATTTGCTGACGACACAAAAATAGGTCATATAATTAACTAACGACGCATGTGAGACCTCGCTTGGTGCAGTGATGCAAATTTAGTCACTGTACTATAGAATGGATATCGATTCCCTAGAAAGCTTTCATATCAGAGGAGAATTGCAAAATTAATCCCGGGCATTGGGAACTTTGAGTATAAAGACAGATTAAAAAGTCTGAATTTGCATTCTCTTGATAGACGTAGAGTGAGGGGCGATATGATTGAAGTGTATAAATGGAAGTCAGGGATCAATAAAGGTGATATAACGAAGGTGCTTAAACAGTTAAGCCAGGAGTGAACACATAGCAATGGTTTTAAATTAAACGAATTTGGATTTAGACGTTGAAACAGTTAGATGGTGGAACAAATAAGGGTTGGGTATAAACATGGCTGCCTAGTATGGGTCAATATGGCTTCTTCAGTTTCTTTATACTGTATATATCCTCCGTCGTCTTTCTTCGCTATTTATCTCTTCCTTCCTCGTCTTATTGGTCGTTTATTTATCATCGTCTTCTTCACTTGACTTGATAATTATTACATTTTCTCTTGATTATTTTGTTTGTGTTTTCTTATTGGTCCTTAATCTTCCTTTTTGTTCTTCTCGTCCTCTTCCTTATCTTCTACACACTGTTTATTCCTCCTCCTCCTCAATCCTCATCACACTGATCATCCATCCTCCTGCTTCTTGTCCTTCTCAATCCTCTGTCTTCCTTAATCATCCTCGTCGTCCTCCTCCCCCTTCTCAGTTAGTAGTTCTCGTTCTCCTCCTCAGATTCGTCGGGGTCCTCAGCGATCTCCTCGTAGTCCTTCTCCAGCGCCGCCAAGTCTTCCCGAGCCTCCGCAAACTCACCCTCTTCCATACCCTCACCTACATACCTACGGGGGGAGGAAAGATTTATAACCATGTACTTAGGGAGGGGGGCGGTAGACACACTCAGCCACTCAACTAAGTGGTAAAGTCAAAGAGTTACTTAATGTATAAACCAAAGGGGATCACCTGAAGATTAGACACTCCAGTTTATTTCACCTGAAGATTAACCACTTTAGCGCTACCTGGGGGTAAGATTAGAATAGGTTAGCGTTAGGGTAGTTAATCTTCAGGTGAAATACGAGTAAGCTGGTTTGTCTAATCTTCAGGTGAAATAAGATGGTTTGTCTAATCGTCAGGTGAAATAAGATAGGGTGTCTATTCTTCAGGTGAAATAAGATGTGAAGTCTATTGTTGAGGTGAAATAAACTGGGGTGTTTAATATTCAGGAGAAATAAGCTGGTTTGTCTAATCTTCAGGTGAAATAAGCTGAGATGTCTAAAGTTCAGGTGAAATAAGCTGGGATGTCTAATCTTCAGGTGAAATAAGATAGGGTGTCTATTCTTCAGGTGAAATAAGATGGGAAGTCTATTTTTGTGGTGAAATAAGCTGGCTTGTCTAATATTCAGGTGAAATAAGCTTGTTTGTTTACTCTTCAGGTGTAAAAAGCTGGGATGTTTAATCTTCCGGTGAAATAAGCTGGGATGTCTAATATTCAGGTGAAATAAGCTGGGATGTCTAATACTCAGGTGATCCCCAACGGTATACATTACAAATACAGTTACCAGTGGACGAAGGCTCTCTTAGCAAACAGCAGGTCGAACTTGAAGTCGAGACGCGCCCAGGCCTCTGCAATGGCAGTGGTATTGGATAACATACAGAGCGACCTGGGCACTGACGCCAAGTCTCCACCAGGCACTACTGTAGGTGGCATGTAGTTTATACCAACCTGAAGGAGAGGGAGTGTATGTGTCAAGTCCTTTGGTGATCTAATGTAAATATCAGTGTTTCAAAAAATACTTCTTTATCTTAGAGTACATCTTCTTTGTGATTAAATTCCTGAACTATACTGATTAGGGAGTAAATTGTCCATTTAATGCTTTGTTTTTGTTTAATTTTGTCATTTAATTTCATTGAAAGTCTAAAATTTCAACCACCTTCTATTTTTCATAAATAATTTTGATTTTTCCTGGTTTAAATATAGTACATGGCTTATCCGGGGTATCCGTGACGACACTGCCATCTAACCACATCCACTACACCATTACCTACACTATTTATACTTCACTATCCTTAGATAAAATTAGGTGCACATGCAAAACTGTAACATCAAATTTCAGCAAGAGGGGGCCGGGGATTTTAGACGGGGGTTAGCCCCAAATTTTGTTTTACTAATAAGGAAGTTCCGACTTTCCGGGTGGGGCCTAACACTGGTTCAACCCACAAATTTCAACTCTCTATCTTCAAACTGTAGCTTTACAGATTTTCGTAGCGATCACGTGAATGAGTGAGGTCATCCATAAGTTAGGACAATGAGAGCAGTCACGCTTTCATTACGAAAATTTGTAAGGCACTATTTTTTGACACTGTACAGTATATATATATATATATATATATATATATATATATATATATATATATATATATATATATATATATATATATATATATATATATATTTTGTTGGTATGTACAGTATGTGATATAGTTTGAAGGTGCTTGAAAGAACAGGTAACGTGTGTCATCAGCGTCGACTGACCTTGAAGCCCGTAGGACACCAGTCAACGAACTCGATCGACTTTTTGCTCTTGATAGTCTGTATGGCGGAGTTGACGTCCTTGGGCACGACGTCGCCGCGGTACAGGAGGGTGACGGCCATATACTTACCGTTGCGTGGGTTACACTTCACCATCTGCATCCCAGGAACAAAACACTCGTTGGTCAGATCCGCTGTAGTGATCTGTGGAAGGGGAAGTAAGGGGTTGTCAGCTGCTCTCTGGGAGTTTGTGCTACACACAGGCAACAATAATATTCTTATCTAAAATTCTACATTATATACACTAGTTTTGGTGTCGAGATTCATATTTGTTGGGATACCTTGAATACGTACTTTACATGCTACAGTGCCATGCCTACTGGCACACCATGCATCAAATGCCATACCTGCATGTGGTTAACCGCTTCAGCGGCGTAGACAGGAGCGTAGTTAGCCAGAGGGAAGTGGATCCTCGGGTAAGGTACCAAGTTGGTCTGGAATTCGGTCAAGTCCACGTTGAGGGCCCCCTCGAACCTATGGCAGAAGGAGTGCTGGTGTTCTTATAAGAGTCGCCACCACGATCTCAAATGACGCCTATTCTACATGTACTGATCTTATCATAAAAGGAGCCCCTCTGTTAGCAGAAGGTGGGAAGTGGTGGGGGGGTATATTCGACTGGCGAAGTTTACATAAACGTGTCTTGCATAATAACAGGTGGCTAACCTGTATACATTTGTATTACTCTGCGAAAATGACTTTCAAATTATACATCGATTTACCTGGATATACACATGTACACTACATCCTTGATCACCGAAGGGTCAAGACGTACCTGGCGCTCCTCTGGGAGTAGCCAGGTCAACTGTTAAGTTGGCCCATACCAACTCCCTCCCCTGAACCCTCCTCCCCACCGGAATATTAACAAGTTCTCGCCAGAAGTTACAATTTCATTTAGGAAAGGAATGGAACCAGTGTTGAACAGAGGTGAACAGTGGTGAACAGTGCTTAAGTCAGTGAGAACAACTCGACAGTAACAGCCCAAGTTAACCTTCACACAGTGAGGTCCCAGGTACCCAGTGATAACTGCCCGTGAGACCCAACAACAACCAGCGATGTGTTAATCCGTCTACGATAGGAAGGCCTGGGACCACACCTCACTCATATAACACCATGTGTGAGGGAATTATACACCACGTCAGGTCCCTCATAACACCATCTGTGAGGGAATTACTAAACCACGTGAGGTCCCTCATAACACCATCTGTGAGGGAATTACTACACCACGCGAGGTCCCTCATAACATCATCTGTGAGGGTATTACTACACCACGTCAGGCCCTCATAACACCATCTGTGAGGGAATTCGTACACCACGTGAGGTCCCTCATAACACCATCTGTGGGGAGTTACTACACCACGTGAGGCCCCTCATAACACCATATGTGAGGGAATTAATACAACACGTCAGGCCCCTCATAACACCATCTGTGAGGGAATTACTACACCACGTGAGGTCCCTCATAACACCATCTGTGAGGGAATTACTACACCACTTGAGGTCCCTCCTAACACCATCTGGGAGGGAGTTACTACACTGCTGCCATATGGCATCACGAAAATTGTGACCAAGTCCCAGGTTGCTGATCTGACTTTCTGCCTCATTTACACACAATTGCAGGGTCTCAAGTGTTTCTCTTACTTGGACAACACAACATATATACTGTATATAATTTCTCACTCTTGATTAATTTTTTCAAGTTTGTATTTATTTATGGTTATTATTTTTAATATTTTTATTATTTTATTTGTATTAATTTGCTATTAATTTTATTAATTGTTGTAATAATAATAACAATAGATATTATTATTATTATTATTATTATTATTATTATTATTATTATTATTATTATTATTATTATTATTATTATTATTATTATTATTATTATTATTATTATTATTATTATTATTATTATTATTATTATTATTATTATTATTATTATTATTATTATTATTATTATTATTATTAATTATTATTATTATTATATTATTATTATTATTATTATTATTATTATTATTATTATTATTATTATTATTATTATTATTATTATTATTATTATTATTATTATTATTATTATTATTATTATTATTATTATTATTATTATTATTATTATTATTATTATTATTATTATTATATTTTCGCCCCCCAGGCCCTGACGTGGGTCATTACTTGTGCCCGTGTGGGCTAATTCCCGTTAAAAAAAAAGAAAAAAAAACTTTATCTAATGAAGGCTTTTGTTAAACCACCAATATGTAATAAGTCATTTATGTCCAATATATATTTTCAGCCTTCGGGCTGCAGAACTTTTTCAATAAATCGTTAATTATTATTATTTATATTCCCTGTACCTGTATGACCGACACAAATCGAGAGATAAAAATATGGTGAAAAAAGAAAATAATGTATTATGTTTTGGCTAGAGTATGCCATTTCTAAACAGAGCAAGACCATGATTTTCTTCTGGGAGGAGTTTTTCATTCCACAGTCGTGAGCCCAGTGCTTTTGAAGTAAAGGGAGTTAATGTACACGATAGGATGACAGCAGACGCCTGGACTCAGAAGACAGGGAGCTAGCCAGACGCTGTATGATACCAGCAGAGAAAAGAAACCCAACGAGGCCCCTTGGCACTGTCCCTACAAGTAACACATGATGAAGAAACTTAGTGAACCATGCACTGCTTGAGAGGCCAGCCATGCAATGTGAGGCGAGATTCTTCAGTGTCTTTTAGGTGGACGATTCTCTACCTGAGGGAAGCGGTGATGGAGGAGACGATTTGACTGATGAGTCGGTTGAGGTTATGGTAGGTGGGTCGATTGACGTTGAGTTTCTTGTGGCACAGCTCGTAGATGGCCTCATTGTCCACCATGAAGGCCACGTCACTGTGTTCCATCGACGTGTGTGTAGTCAGGATGGAGTTGTAAGGCTCCACCATCGCCGTCGACACCTGAAAACACCATTATTATTTCTAACTCTCGTCTGAATATTTACGACAGCACTTGATGTCAGTAGCCCTTTATTGGGGTCTTATGAATTTTGCTTAGTAATGCCACCAGGATATAGACTTTGCTGTTGAGAAGTTATCCGAAGAGACACAAGGTACCCACCTGATCATCGTTCACACCGGGGTATTAGTTTAGATAAGATACCTTTATTCTACATCATCACAACATATACTGTATGCTAAATTTCATGGTAGATGGTTATGTTCAAGGTTTCTTACGGAAAAAAAACTATGCCAGCTGAATTTTAATCAACTCTGATATGACGAATGAATGGCAAACAGGACACAAAAACCATACTCGTTTTTTTTACCTCCAGGTTATATGATCCTAATTACGTGAAAAGTCAATCTTTTGCTGTACCTCAGTGTCTTACTAGAGGGATATTGATACTTTGTTCTTAAGTTGTCATAAAACACTTGTCATTTGTGTCATGTGATTGTTGGAGTTGTGTTGTGACTGACAGTTTTACATTGTCGTGTGTGTTTGACCCTTGGATATTGTTGTGACTGAAGCCTGTACATTGTTGTGGTGCGTGGGTGGTGTTCATATAGTGATGCTTTAACTCGCCTGTGGTGCCGGGTAGATGGCGAACTCTAGTTTGGTCTTCTTGCCGTAGTCAACTGAGAGGTGTTCCATTAGCAGCGAGGTGAAGCCGGAGCCAGTGCCACCGCCGAAGGAATGGAACACAAGGAAACCCTGAGAGGCACCGAATGGTTAAGACACGGGCACCCAGATGAAAGGGCGTTTACAATAGATCCACGCGAATTTCCTTAACGCAATATATTTTCTTGATCCATATCAAATTTAACAATAACTGTTTAGTATCTTCAGCAAAGGTATGCCTCAGTGTACTACTTGTAAGCAATGCAGACTGCATATATATGGCCTAACAAGATTTTCATACAAAACCCATGATAGTGACAAGTGTACCTGTATAGTTTCTTTATGAATCTCACTGTCGTACCTGAAGGCTAGAGGCCTGGTCGGTCATCCTCCGGATCTGGTCTAAAGTGACATCAATCATCTCCTTGCCGATGGTGTAGTGGCCGCGGGCGAAGTTGTTGGCGGCGTCCTCCTTGCCAGTCACCAGTTGCTGCGGGTGGTACATGCCGCGGTACATTCCAGTCCGGATCTCGTCTGGTCAGAGAAAGAGAATCCTGCCTGTACTCTCGACAACAATGGCTCTAACCTCTGTGTCCAGATTATCATTGATTCTTACATTATTATTATTATTTTTTACTCATATATGGAGATACGGGAAGACGTATTAGCTATGGTAGTCTCAGTGTAATTTTGATGCCATGGTTTGAAACTGTGTCGTCGTATACTACACTACGGTGTAATGTAAAGTTTCACGCCATAATCATTGAGCAAAATTTTATGGACTTAGGATAGGTTAGATTAGGCTACATTAGCCTAGGTTAGCGTTAAGGTGGTTAATCTTAAACAAACCATTCAGGAATTATTCTGCCCAGTCGCCTTAATATACTGTACTACGACGTCAACAAACACATTTACTGCCACCTCTCACAAAACCCGCCAGCCACTGTGCCAGATATAAGTGCAGGCGACTGTACATTTTAATAGTCGATACCTTACCAATGACGGTGGGTTCCAGGTCGACGAAGACGGCGCGGGGAACGTGGAGGCCACTCTCCATCTCGCTGAAGAAGGTGTTGTAAGCGTCAGCGCCGTAGCCCAGGGTGTCGTCAGAAGGCATGAAACCGTCAGGGGTGATGCCGTGCTCCAGGCAGTACAGCTCCCAGCAGGCGTTGCCGATCTGCACCCCAGCCTGTCCTATGTGGATACTCATACACTCACGCTGACGAAGTAAAGAAGGAAGGCGTGAGAGGAAGGAAGGTAAGAATGAAAAGAATGAAGGAATCAAAAGTGTGGCTATGAGTCGGCGTGCTGGAGGGTTGTTAGGGCAGGAATGTTTTGATAGCACACTGTATGACGCCACACACACACACACACACACACACACTCACTTCCACCCTCAGGTATACACTAAGCGTTATTAAGTTACGTTTCATAGGTGAATGAGGAATATTTTCCACATTCACTTAGAAGGGGGAGGGGGGTCGCTCACAGAACTTATGGTCCTACTAACAGACACAAAATATTCCAGCAAATAACACAAGGATGAAACTTTGCAATAGACCAAGTATACAAGGTGTGGCAGTTATATTGGTATTGTCAGGGAGGGAGTCGATAATGGGGCAGTGGGTGTGTGTGAAGGGGTGGGTGTTAATGCCTCTCAACCCACGATCCCTCCTTCGGCTATCCCTTAACCTCCGCCCCCCTTTCCACTCTTCCCCTGACACGCCTCCACCCCCCTCCTTCTACCCCTCGACCTCCTCCACCACACCCCTCTACTGCCATCAACTATTCATGACCAGCCTTGGAAGGGGAGGGGGCAGTTGTGTCATCTCGTTATCTCTATGAAGGATCTGTTGGTTACTTGGTTGGGTCCTCGACTATCGTGGTTCAGGTGGTGATAGTCAAGTTACACTACCTTAGAGTCACATGAAGATTAAGAACCCTATTTTATTTCACCTGATGAGTAAACACCCTGAACCTAACCTAACCTAACCTAACCTGTGTTCGGTCCCGCTATATCGCAGTAGTCGGGTGTGAAGGGAATAATTATTACCGCCCGTGTCTATAAAATACCTTTAGTTATGGTAATTCGTTGTGTATTATCATTTCATTGTATTTCCGGTAGATATGTATGTAAATATAAGGGAAGGGGATAAACAATAAGAGGGCACTAATATAAGGGAGGTGAGGCCATTATTGACTGTTCTTGAGTTGTTTACATTGTTGGAGTAAACAAGAACCTGATGTGTTGTTGATGTACCCATTACTATTACCACGTATTACCACCGCCACCACTGCTGCTGATGCTACCTACTACTACCTATAGTACTACTACTACTACTACAGCTACTACTACTTTTTTTAACGTGGCCTCCAGCCTCCCCCAATAGCCACACCTTCGCCACCATTTTATTGCCTTAAAATTAAATATCTTACTACTACTACTATGAAATGACAATGACACTAGGTCACAGAGAGCCACACACACACACACACACACACACACACACACACACACACACACACACACACACACACCCAACACACTCTTACCACCCACTGAGGAAAGTGCACGATAGGTGAAGTGAATTAATTACTCATAAAGGTAAGAACTTTAATGTGTTGGGGCTTTGATGACAGAAGTTGGCAAGAAAGTGGATTTTTTTTTACTTTCTTACTTGATTACTCACTCTTATAATTACTTACTTACTTACTTACTTACTTACTGAGACAACATTACACATTAATATTTAGGTTACCTTGTAATTGTACGAGGCACCGTGAATTGCTCATTGCGTGTCCGATCGTTTCTCGAAGGTCCAGCACGTTTGGGAGGACTTGACGCCATGAATCACGGTTTAGATTATTATAGAATGGACGTGAGTTATTTGTTCCTGTGAATTGGTGATACAAGAAACTTACGGTGATGGTAACAGTTTCCCCATAGTGCCGTTGAAATTGAATTGGGACTTAACATTGTGTAGATTCGTTCTGTTGGCTATAATTAGTGAGAAAAAAGTTATGAAATATGAAAATCCGGGTACACACACACACACACACACACACACACACACCAGCCTCGTGCGCTCTACCTCACCTTCACGCCCGCACTCATACAATATTCACAACCATTGATTCGAGCGATAACATCGTTTGTACGTAACATTTTACCTCGGGCTCTTTTAAATCAACTTATCATAAAATCTGTTTCACGTTGATAATTAGTGCGGGATTTTGTAGTCGTCGAGTAAAAAAATCGACAAGATAGACAAAAAATTGGTTTATGGGTTTGTGGTTTACATATAACGTGTTTTAATCCACCGATCCGCTATTACGCACGGTGCCAGGGTGTCAATAAGGAGCGGTACTGTCAGTTGAAGGTTAGCATCGATGTTGCTGAGGGTGTTGACACTTGACATGTGTTTCTGCCGTAAGGAAGGTCATCGTACCCCAAGGCTAGAGTTGAGGGAGACGGTGTGGTCGAGTAATGAGGGAAGTGTAATTATCGTATTCCAGTAAAGTCGTTGGATTTCAAGGCTGAACCTATGGTACTTTGATGGGGACAGGTCGTGATTCAACTACATAACGTTATCATCCTCGAAGGTCAACATACTCCAAGGATTAAGTTATCGTACTCGTAGGATTGTATATTATCGTAATCTAGTCCTAATTGATCCTACTCTAGGTTTTGTAATTGTATTCAAAGGATTACTATATTGTCACATAAGGAACGAAGTCATTATTCTTAATCTATTGTACTCGAGGGCTTATCAGACCCCATGACTTGACTGTATCGTATTCGATGGTTTAGGACTTCAGGTCACTGAAGAGATCTGAATCCCCTCTCTTCAGGGATTGAGTTAGGATGAGAACAAACCTCATGTTGCTATTTTGTTTTTGTTTTTCATCCGCCTCTGAGACAATGGACGACATGAAAATCACATAGAAACAAAATATATTCACAGGAGAAAAGGAATTCAATAATAAAGAAAACATATAAGATTTACAAGGCCGTGAGATACGACCTCAGAATGCGTAGACATGCAAACTGAAGTCTATGGTTTTTATTGTCTAGGATTGTGTGTGTTCGTGCAGGTGACTGTGTGTGTGTGTGTGTATAGATTTAGCCTAGAATGAGATATTGACGGACACTTGACAGTTTAACTATATTGCTGTCAATCATTGTTATCAGTAAATTGTTATCGTCCTCCCTCAGAAAATATGTTGTGTTCTTTAATGACAAGTATATGCCCCAGATGACTGAACCTTCCCTCCTCAGTGTTCAAAATACACTGACTTCTTCCAATTTCATTCAAGGAATATGTTTTGTACTGGATGTTTATGTTTAACGTTTATTAGTTCGTGAATGTCTACATGTGTGTGTGTGTGTGGGTGGGTGAGTGCCGGGAGAGAGAGAGAGAGAAAGTTAATTGGTGTTGACCGAGGGTGGAAGAGGGGAGACCCACTTCCCCGTTGACTACACTGCCCCACTTAACGTCTATTATCGGCAATCGTTAGTTATCCCCTCGAGTACTGGGCATTATTACAATAGTTTTGTCTAAGAGCGGCAGAGAACGTTGGCGCTAGCTGGCTGTTCCACTGAGGTCGTGGATTGAAAGGCAGTGAACGTGGGCGCCAACGACTGAACGGCGTAAAGCTAGGGAACCTTACGTAAACTTAGGAACACAAAATCGAACTTTGGTAAACAGTCATTCCTTTACGGTGAAGTACAGTATTCCAAATTACACCCATTGACCAAAGTTCTTCTCCAGATCCAACGTGGAAATGATGTGGTAACCGCAAGGGAATTGTTTACACCTCAGAAATTGTTTTTTTAAAATTTTTTTGTTTTCAAAGCGTTCTTATTCTTCTTTTTATTTTATTCCTATCATCACACGAAATCACTACTATTGTTATTCTTATCCAGTCTCTGATTATTTACTAATAAGTGACTTGTCATCGTTCACTTGGTTAGGTTAGGTTAAGTTAAGCGAGTTATCACAGGCTAAGGGCGTTTCCAGTCAAGGACGTTTCCAGTCAAGGACGTTTCCAGTCAGGGGCGCTTCCAATCAAGGGCGTTTCCAGTTCAGGGCGCTTCCAGTCAAGGAAATATCCAGCCTACGACACTTCTTGATCAAAAACTTCAAGGACCATTACACATCGACCAAAAAACCTACTAAAATCAAGTCCCTCTTCTCAACACAATCCGGGTGAGCAAAATACGCTATACTGAGCCCCGAGTTAGGTTATTAACCCCTGGAGGCGAGGAGTGTAATAGAAACCTTTAATTTGTGAACCGGATCTTGTTCCTAAAATACAGGTGGTAATAGTTTCTCCTATACTATATTGAGGTATAATGCGCTAACTGAAGAGGGCTTCGGGTAGTGGGGGAGAGACGGGAATAGTTGATAATGGATCCACTACACTGATATACTCAATACACAGCCACACTCGGTACACAGCTGCACCCAGTACACAGCCACACTCAGTACACAGCTACACCCAGTACACAGCCACACTCAGTACAGAGCCACACTCAGTACACAGCTGCACTCAGTAAACAGCCACACTCAGTACACAGCTACACCCAGTACACAGCCACACTCAGTACACAGCCACACCCAGTACACAGCTACACCCAGTACACAGCCACACTCAGTACAGAGCCACACTCAGTACACAGTACACAGCTGCACTCGGTGCACAGCTGCACCCAGTACACAGTACAGCCACACTCAGTACAGAGCCACACCAGTACAGTACAGAGCTCAGTACACAGCTGCACTCAGTAAACAACACCTCAGCACAGCTACACCCAGTACAGCCACACTCAGTACACAGCCACACCCAGTACACACACACAGCCACACTCAGCAGCCACACCCACATGCCCAGTACACAGCCACGCTCAGTGCAGCCACATTCACTCAGGCAGCACCTCCACACAGCCACACTCACCCAGTACACAGCACACCACACAGCCACACACCCATGCACAGCCACACCAGTACACAGCCACACCCAGTACACAGCTACACTCAGTACACAGCTACACTCAGTACACAGCTACACTCAGTACACAGCTACACTCAGTACACAGCTACACTCAGTACACAGCTACACTCAGTACACAGCTACACTCAGTAAACAGCTACACTCAGTAAACAGCTACACTCAGTACACAGCTACATTCAGTACACAGCTACACTCAGTACACAGCTACACTCAGTACACAGCTACACTCAGTAAACAGCCACTCGGTACACAGCTACACTCGGTTAGACAGACACACTCATTACACAGCAATACCCAGTACACAGCTACACTCCTGGATGCAGTATTTTCTATGCATTTACAGGTGTTGTATGAGTGAACACACTTTTCAAGACAACGAAAAACTTTACCAATTAAGATACACCTGTGGGTCATTGTAATAAAATACTCTACACAGAAAATACCATTTTGGGCTGCAGACGATGACCTCACTCGGTGGCAGACAGTGTGAGGGGAAGGTGACACGTGGATGGCAGGCAAGTGTCAGGTGAATGGTAGGCGGGAGGGACGGCGAAGAGGTAGGAACAGGATGGCAGAGGTCGCGGGAGCTAGGTGATGGTGCTCTCTCGACGCCCGGTCCAACAGTGGCCACCTGCCCTTGTTGCCACACATCGACCCGCCGCCACCTGCTGCCTCACGCCACCTGTGGTTATGGCAACTTCTGAGTAGCCGAGGGAACTATCCTCTTCACCTGTCACTCCCTCCACTAAAACCCACCCAGGTACAGTTCTCTAGATGTTAATAATCACTCGAAAATACTATCAAAACACGGGGGAGAATTTTAAATATCCATTCTCAGTCATGGTACTGAGTATTTAAGTACCATCTGTTACAGTTCTACAGTACCAAGTATTTTCGTATCATCTGCTAGAGTGGTTCTGACGACGCTCCACCACACTAACAAAGTCAAGCCAAGACCATTTGTTTCTGTTGACCATCTTTGTCATTGTTTATTGAAGAGTAATTCTCTATCTTTGGTCACTCATTTGAACCTTCCCTGTCTCTCTTTCTCTGTGATTCTCTTTTCCTCTTTCTCTGTCGATTTCTGTCTCTTTTTCTCACTCCCCGTTTCTCTTTCTCTCTCCCTGTGTCTCTTTTCTTCTCTGTGTGTCTGTTTCTATCTCCATCTTCCTCTAGGTCTCTCTCTCTCTCTCTGTCTCTCATCTGTCTTCCTGGTCTTCTCTCTGTCTTTTTTCTCGATTCGAATACAAATTAGAAGCTTCTCTGGAGGTACAAACATACAGAAATTCTTGACTAGAAATACATATGCATTGCGGTAGCTAAGATGACCTAATTACCTGTAATAGCCATTAACCCACCTGTTACTATCTCTGTTTGACATTATTATTTCAGAGGCGAGGGAGGAGGAAGGGGGGGGGGTCGATGGGATTTGGGAGGGTTGGGGGAGATGGAGGGGAGGGAAAGGGGATGGGGAGGAGGTAGGGGGGACGGGGGAGGTGGAGGGGACAGGGAAGGTGTGAAGGGGAATGAGGGGAGAAGTAAAAGGGGAGAGGATGAATGAGGAGGGAAGTGGGATGAGGAGGAGGTTAGAGGGGATGGGTGGAGAGGGGATGAAGGGAGGGGTTCAGATTACAGGTGTAGGTAAAACAGGTAACAAAAGATAGTTTTGCAGAAATTTGAAACTATAATTTTGTTATAATGAACTACTACGAATACTAATACTTATACTAATACTAATATTAATATTAATACTAATACTAACAAAATACAGAACAGACTGAACAAGTTATGAGTAGGAAAATTTGTTGAACAGAGGAGCAATTATGTTCCATATCATTATCTGTTAACAGAAATACACTTACACTACTGCCGTGTGTGTGTGTGTGTGTGTGTGTGTGTGTGTGTGTGTGTGTGTGTGAGGTGTAAAGCTTATCAAGGAAGTACTAAGTGACGACGTGTTTTCCAGGTTAATTGAGGCGAGGAGGGAACTTGATCAAGGCTAGATCTCTCTCGTTGATCCTTCGTCAGATAGGTCACGCGACTCCTTCACCATTCGAGGAATGAGCACGTGACACCGAGCAGTATCATTACACAGAACAAAGGACAACGTTTCGATTTTTGGAGGTTAGTGGCGATGTTTCATAGTTAATTATTGATATATTAACGTTAACAACATGACTTTTCCTGTATCGTAATGCTAATCATTTCGTATGGTAGAAGATAACGTTATGATATCGGACCATTAACGATTTGATGGATGTAAACTGTTTTACATGCTGTTGAAGGATCTGTTCATAATTGAAAATTGTAAGTAATTAGTGTTAATTAATGACCCTTGCCAGAAATAAACACCTTTGGAATATTTAATACTTCAATTACGCTGTGCCTGTAAGTTTTAAATTCTACTTATATATATTTTCTCAAGAATAAACTAACTTTACGCTTATGCACGTTAGTTTTCACTTAAAAAATAAAAATAAAGAAAGCAGTTAGTCGCCCTGAAAACGCCTGACCTAATACCTTGCGTTTCGGGTCATGACGTAGATTTTGTTAAAGTTTCATAGGTACTCGGAATACCGTACTCCTGAGCATGCTGATTACGACTCTATGGTTGACAGTTCGATTGGGGGGTAATTTGTGGTCGGAATAACGGTTGAGAGATATTAATGACATTTTTTCCCAATGCTAATTACATGTACTCGTCAACGTTTAGTTTCCGGAGTGATTATCTGGTGTTTTTTGTGTTCTTCTGGACGTACTTAATTACAATAGCTAATCCCATAAAATTTCAAGTGAGTCGAAAACATCAAAGGGGTATATATATGATGGTCCTCAACTTCAGACACGCACCTATAATAGACAACAAATAAGACAAATATCAATGGAGACCTTTACAACGTTAGGTGTAAAGAAAGGCGACCTGGTGATAATGAGGAAGACTAGAAAGAAGAACAAGAACAGAATAGTTTACGAGATTCCTTGCGACGGCTGCAAAATTACGGATGATTGGTAATAATAGCCCAAAAACGTTTACAGTGGAGTACCGTGGTCACCAACCCACAGATATGACGACGATTCTTTGATTGATTGACTCATCTTTATTGACCCATCTTTATTGACCCATCTCTATTGACCCGTTTAGAGAGTCCGTCATCAGGTTTAAAGCTTCTAATGCCCATTACGTTTGGCCAGTGAATGGACATCTGCGTTTCCCGATCACCCCGATAACATTTCTCATGCCAAGGCACCGACGGATATCTGCCAGCCTCCGAACATTCGTCTTTTAGGGCAGATCAACAACCAGATGTCTCCTGGCAAATTAGCTGTGGCCTGTCATGCTATATTGCGATCAGATATATTACTGTCACTCAGCAGTCATTTGTCATGTTCCTGATCAGCTGACTCATTATTATTATTGTTATTATTATTATTATTATTATTATTATTATTATTATTATTATTATTATTATTATTATTATTATTATTATTATTATTATTATTATTATTATTATTATTATTATTATTATTAGTAATATTATTATTTGGCCAGCCCGTACGGTGGGGTAGAGTATTGTGTTTGTATCACTTAAGTAACTCGAGGTATGCAGATTTGTACAAAACTTCGTTGGTTTGATCAACATGCGATAAGATCCACATGATAAACCACTGCTGCAAAACGCAGCAAAAATGACGAGGTGGTGCAATGTTAAATGTTAGCACAATGACAACACGGGTATTTCGGTTGTTACAAAAACTTATGAATTAGATTGTCTCCAATCTTTTCTGTTTAAAGACGTTGTTACTATCAAGTTGTTATACCAGCCTCTCACACACCACGTGTCACGTGGAAAACATTTATAATAAGGTAAAAGAAAATTAATTAATGATAACTTTATTTTAATCACATGGTAAAATAATACGAAAAATAAATATGATGACCAAAAGTTATTCTGGTGCACTAAATAGAAGACGTTCAGAGAGTAAATGTAATTCCTTGATTTTAGGGGTAGATATAATAGAATTTTGATGCAATTTCTTAACGTCGTCTTTGGGTAGCAACTTAAATAGAAGCATTCTCACCATCCAGTTACAGGGAAAATTTATCATACAAATCATTGACAAGCTCAGATCTTGATTTTGAGAAAGCCTGGGGTAGTAATACTGGGAGAGAGGAGCAAGAAAGTCTCACGATCGAGATTAAACACAGAGCTACAACCCCGCTGTGAGCCATATATCGAAACTATGTGTTGTGGGAAATAGGATATATAATCACTAATCTCGTGTGTGATGCTTACCAATGTTCCATACACACCATGACGTGACGCAGTGATTGTAAGTTAAACGTCCTGTGAACTGAGTAGGAGGATGTGACGTAGAGAAACTGGACAATGATGGTAAAGCGGATGGTCAAACTGCTTTGCCGTGGTACTACGGACATAAAACCAAACCCGTGACGAAAACTTAGAAAATAAAAAGCGAAGGTGATATTGGAATTTGATTAGTAAACAGATAATATAAAGCAGACGAGGAGAAGAGATGTAGTATTAAGGGAAGAAAAGAAAATATTAACATAGGCACGGCTGTACTAGGGAGAGCAAAAATAATAATGAGTACTAAAGAGAACGGAATAAATGCGTGGTTCCCAAAAGGCTTAGGAAAGACGTGTGTGGGGGGCTGATGATGATATATCGTGCCAGTCGCCTCTTGAGTCATTCAGTGTTGTCAGGGATATAAAACAATGTTTGGATAAGGGCGGGCCAGTATAGCACAGATGAGTAGATATGATGCAACATTACTAGCTCTTGAGTACTGCTTATACTATGCTAAGTTGGGTTCGGGACAATCAAAGGCTCTGCAGTTTTTAGTTCCCAGTGACAGTGTCCTCGTCTGTGACACATAGATATTTCTGGTGCTGGTAAACGAATCACTGCTCATTTGAAGGTAAATTGAAATAATCGCTCACTGAGCTTTAAAAACTCAAATGACAATTTTGCCATTTAGGGATAACTTTTATTTTATTGCTATAACTTAAATGAATTAATTAATTTATAGAAAAAAATAATTTAAAACGTCATTTACCACCATACGATAGACAAATTATAATTAAAATAGTTTAGGTTAGGTAAGCTCAGATCAGGTCAGGTTCAGTTAGGCTAAATATGCAGCTCTTCATTTTGAATTTTAGATGCATTATAATTATCTACATGGTCGTCTATGTCCAGTTATAAGTAAAAAAAAAATTTGAAGTTGCCGGTAATCAGCAACAATAACCCAATTTAATATAGAGGCCGAGGGGGGTTGGGGTGAGGGATCAACAGTATAAAAGTAGCAATATGAGCAACTTCTTATAACTTGCACAACTCTCTCGCTCTCTCCCGTGTCTGAGAGTTTTTCCACTTCCCTTTGAAAGAAATGGACTTCACTATTTACAAGAAGGGATTACAACATCCCACTTGGAGGAATCTCAAATATACATAATTCATGAATATAAACTAACGTAGACTAGAATTTGGAATAACATTATAAATGAAATTATCCAATTAACTTCAATGCACAGAAAATACTAATCAACTTTATATATATATATATATATATATATATATATATATATATATATATATATATATATATATATATATATATATATATATATATATATATATATATCCATAATTGGATAATTCTT